CCAGTTCCTGCTGGCTGGGTTAATTTGTAACATGGGCCGGAGTTGCACTTCCTGTAAGTGGTGGCAATTCACTATGGTGGGCCAAGATGTTTTTTTTTTCCATAACAAAAATCAGGCTGGCCTAAAATGGCCCAAAAACACAAGTCACGTAACAAATGGAATCAAAATAGTAAAAAAAAAAATAAAAAACCTAAAGTGGGCCCAAAGGCACCCAAAAGTTGAAAGAGGCAAACAAAATCTGCAAGTACTAACGAAAAGCAAGTTGGGCAAAATGTGACAAATTCTACATATAATATTATAATCCAAAAGGGTATTGGGCAGTAGGTGACAAATACAAAAGGAAAAAATTCATATGTCAAGGATTATCTTTCACGAAATCAAAAATCAGACCCCAAAATTTAAACCGTTCCAAACTAGTATTTCGAGAATTTCGATAACGTGCTTATTTTAAAATTTTTCCGATGATCATACGCTAGCCGAATTCACAAATCGTTTATGTTATCTTGAAACTCGATTCTAGAACTATGTCATAGACATATCAAATTGTCCAAACAGGCATCGAAAATATTTAAAGGTTCGAAAATAATATATACTTTTATTGATGAATTTTATCAATTTATTTTATAAAATTCAAATTTGGACAACTTAAGTATTGCCCCTTTAATTTGTTAAAGAGTTAAAAAACACATTTTTTTGTCAAAAATAATTCTAAAAATCACCGTTTTAAAATTTTTGCATAAACTTCGCCCAAGCTCTTAATTTGTTTTTACTCTTTAATCACGCTTCAGTATTTTTTAATTTAATATTAATAAACAATCTCGGTATTGCGATTGTTGACATTCAACAGTCAACAGCAGCCTAGCTGACTCGGATTCTTGGATCCGTTACTAAATTCCAGTAGACTAATATAAAATCTTATTGTTCAATCATCAACCAAAACTTTGCTGTGAATATGTGGTTCCAAATAACATAATATTAATACATATAATACTACTCGAAGGACGATATTAGCATAGAATGAAGCAATTTTAGTTTGTTAAGAAGTGAGTTTAAAATGTTTGGGAAATAAATATACTTTAAAGCAACTTTTTAGTCAAACATCTTTGATTAAGCTTAAAAGTTAATTTTGCTTTAGGCTTAGTCGATCATGATCTCAATTTTAGTATTTAATTTCTGGCCGTTTATAAACACTTCTAAACATATCTAAGATCCAATTTAATGCAATATCCAATTGAATATAATGTGTGAAGCAGCTTAACCATACTACTACTACAATACTTGGACATTTGGTGCACAGTAAGCAGCAGTAGACATTGTAATAATCATAATTTTAACTTCTCCTACCTTAATA